CGCCCTGAAAAATCTTACTATGCTGATTTTAATGGACCCATTTGTTGAAGTTACAGATCACATTTACATAGGTTGAAGCAAAATAAGAACATATTTGATAGATACTAGTGAGACTGGCTCCCATGAAGTATTCTTAGTGAAAATGTATTGTCAAATTTGTCAGAGGTCCTATGTAAATCCCTGCTGCTTGGGAAAAGGCTTGTAACTGTTCTGCTAAAGAACATTTTTTCCATATGGGGCCTCCTTTTTTGTTATCTGTGGTATAAACTGATGTATTTTGTAGCAAGATAATTACCAAGTTTTCTCTATAGGAGCAAAATTCATTGTTCAGAATGTTTTATGGTCTATCTACCCTCCAGTTTTCAGCCTACATTTTAAAGCTGTAGATACAGTACTATTTACAATGTAAATTATTTCCTGAAAAAACTGTTAAAAAGCCAAACTGCCATGGATCTGCCATGCGTAACCTCCCTATTCGAACAATAACACAGCTATGCTGTCTCATTGGAAAACAATACATCTTCTGAGTCTAAGAGCTTAAGAAGCTTGCAGTGAATACAAACACAAACAGAATAATGTAAAGTCAGAGAAAGATGAGAAATAAAACGATAAAAGAAATCAATGTTTAATAAACTTATATGCCTGGAATTACTTGCAAGTCTTTGCACAGAGCTCAGAAATTATAGAAGTGAGCTACAAAGCACATGGAAATTTGCAAGCTGTTGCTTGCTCAGTGCATTAGAAAGGTAGAACCAGGAGCTGGGGAGGAGGCAGGCAGTAAAGTGCTTGCTTGCCGAGTGTCTTAGTTTGTTTCTTCATTGCTGTGACAAAATACTCTGACCAGTACCAACTTGGGGAGGAAAGGGTTTATTCAGCTTACATCTCCCAGATTGCAGTTCATCAGGGAGCCCAAGGTAGGAACTCAGGGCAGGAACCTGGAGGCAGGAGCTGAAGCACAGGCCATGGAGGAATGCTGCTTACTGGCTTGCTCCCCTGGCCCCTGCTCAGCCTGCTTTCTTATGCAACACAGGCCCACCTGCCCAGGGGTGGCACCACCCACAGTTGGCTGGGCCCTCCCACATCATTCATCAAGAAGATGCCCCTCAGACATGGCCACAGGCCAGTCCAATAGAGGCAATTCCCCAACTGAGGCTCCCTCAACCCAGGTGTGTCAAGTTGACACTAAAGCTATCCAGCACAATTGACCTCTTGTCAACCTGACACACAAACGTCACTATTAAGCCGTAACTTTCCAATTTCTGTCCCCAAGATATGATGTTAATATCACAACATAAGACAGTACAACCTTAAAAACCCCACAGTCCTTAAAAAATCCAAACACTTAAAAGTTCATAGTCTCTTTTAAAAGTCTCTTAACTGTGGGTGGGCTTCTGTAAAATCCAAGTACTGTCTTATTTCACAGGGAAGAATCGGGCACACCTAAGCAAAACCAAAGTCCAGCAAAGTAGCTCAAGGCTGGACATCTGGGATTTACTCAAAATCTTCTGGCCTCCAAAGGGTCCTGGCAACTCCACTTCTCTGACTGCCGTGCACAGCACACACAGCTCATCTCGAAGACCCAGGCTGAGGGAGCCCAAGGTAGGAACTCAGGGCAGCAACCTGGAAGACAGACCATGGAGGAACGTTGCCCACTGGCATGCTCCCTCTACCCAGGTATGTCATGTTGACACTGAAGTTCTCCAGAACAACTGACTCCTTGTCAACTTGACACACAAATACATCACACCACAGCCTTTCCATTTCTTGTCCCCAAGATATGATGTTAACAATATCACAGTGTAAGACAGTGCAACCTTAAAAGCCCCACAATCCTTAAAATATCCAAGCACTTAAAAGTTCATAGCCTCTTTAAAAAGGCTCTTAACTGTGGCCTTCTGTAAAATCCAAAAGAAGTACTGTCTTATTTCAAAAGTGAAGTATTGAAGTAGGGACACCTAAGCAAAACCCAAGGCCAGCAAAGTAGCTCAAGGATGGACATCTTTGATGCACTCAGGATCTTCTGGGATCCAAAGGGTACAGGCAGCTCCATTTCTCTGACTCTGCCATCCACAGCACACACAGCTCGTCTCGCAGACCCAGGCCAGCTCCATTCCACACCTACCGCTGTCCTTGTCTTCAGCTCTAGCCAACCAGAACCTACAGATTCTCAATTCAAAATCTCACACAAACAGCCCTGATAGTCTCTGCTTCCCTTTGAAGCTTCACAAGCCAGGCCTCCATTGTCTACAAATCTTTCAGCATAACTGTTCCAAGCTCCACAGTAACAAATTCTGAGCACGCAATGGCTTTTCCAGCCCAAAGTTCCAAACACTTCTACGGTCCTCCCAAAAGCACCACGGTCAGGTCTGTGATGGCAATATCCCACTCAAACTGCCATGGATCTGCCGTGCAAAAGCTCCCTATTTGAACAATAACATGGCTATGCTGTCTCATTGGAAAACAATACATCTTCTGAGTAAGAGCTTAAGAAGCTTGCAGTGAATACAAACACAGAATAAAGTCAGAGAAAGATGAGAATTAAAACGAAAAAAGAAATCAATGTTTAATAAACTTATATGCCTGGAATTACTTGCACGTCTTTGCACAGGGCTCAGAAATTATAGAAGTGAGCTACAAAGCACATGGAAATTTCCAAGCTGTTACTTGCTCGGTGCATTAGAAAGGTAGAACCGGGAGCTGGGGAGGAGGCAGGCAGTAAAGTGCTTGCTTGCTGAGCAAACATGAGAACTTGAGTTTGATCCTCAGAAGCCACAGAAAAAGCCAGGCGTGGTAATGTACTTAGAATCCCAGCATTGGGGAAGTGGGGACAGGTGGATCCCTGAGGCTCACTGGCCAGCAAGCCTCACCTAATCAGCAAACCCCAGGTTCCAGTGGGAGACCCAGGCTCAAAAACAAGATAGATTGTTCCTGAGGAACAAAACCCAAGGTTGGCCACTGGCCTCCACACACTCACACTTGTGCACACACACATCTGCTCCCTCTCACACATAAACACAAAAGTAAAAGTATGATACTTTGACAGAAGGCTGGACATCTGGGATTTACTCAAAATCTTCTGGCCTCCAAAGGGTCCTGGCAACTCCACTTCTCTGACTGCCGTCCACAGCACACACAGCTCATCTCGAAGACCCAGGCTGGCTCCATTCTACACCTACTGCTGTCCTTGGTAGTCGTCCCATGGTCCTGGCATCTCCAAAAAGCTGGGGTCGCCACTGAAACTGAGGCTACACCTTCACCAATGGCCTCTACTTGCCTCTTGGGGTGCAAAGCCTCAGATTCTCTCCATGACCCCTTCAATCCTGGGGTCTT